TAACGCTAAACAATAAACCCATAGAGTAATATTAATACTAAACACAATGAACCCATAGAGTAATATTAACGCTAAACAATAAACCCATAGAGTAATATTAATACTAAACACAATGAACCCATAGAGTAATATTAACGCTAAACAATGAACCCCTAGAGTAATATTAACACTAAACACAATAAACCCATAGAGTAATATTAATACTAAACACAATGAACCCATAGAGTAATATTAACGCTAAACAATGAACCCCTAGAGTAATATTAATACTAAACACAATGAACCCTTGAGTAATATTAACGCTAAACACAATGAACCCATACAGTAATATTGGCGTTAAACATCATAAACCCCGTTTAATAATATTAATGCTAAACACAGAATAATATTAGCGTTGAATACAATGAATCCATATGCATTAAATATAGTGCATCCTATAGTTATAATAGCGTTAAACATAACGAATTCCGTAGTAACATTAGCGTTAAGTACAATGAACCCATATGCATTAAATATAATGAATCCTATAGTTATACTAGCGTTAAACATAATGAATTTCGTAGTAACATTAGCGTTAAGTACAATGAATCCGAAGTAATATTAGCGTTAAATACAATGAACCCACAAAACTATCTGTACTAGATAAAGGGAAGGCAGCCAGTGACAGAGTAGAGGGAAGGCAGCCAGTGACAGAGTAGAGGGAAGGCAGCCTAGTGACAGAGTAGAGGGAAGGCAGCCAGTTACAGAGTAGAGGGAAGACAGCTAGTGACAGAGTAGAGGGAAGCAGCTAGTGACAGAGTAGAGGGAAGGCAGCTAGTGAACGCTATGTACCACCAACACTTGGACTACTTATTTCCAGCGAATAGTGGGTTTGATCGTACATTATAACGCCTATACGGCTGGAAGGGTAAGGAGGTTCGGCAACAGGTTTTGATCCCGTGACCTATAGATTGCAAGTCGCCATAGCCACCAGACTATGCCATGCCCTATTAGCGTTAAGCACAATCATCTTGGTTATTGTATTAGCGTTAAATACAATGGACTTTATAGTTATATTAGGGTTTAACACAGTGAAACCCGTAGAGTGATATTCAAAACAATAAACTCAATAAAACTGTGTGAAAAGTGCACAATAACTCCCCCTGAAACTTCAATCAGTTCGAATTACGTGAAGTTGTCTAAGCTTGGACATACGTATGGAAGTTTTTTCAAAACGAAAATTTTTCAAGAATCATAATTCAAAACAGTAAAAACGCTGCGAATGTTTTAACACTGAGTTTATATAGTTTATATCTATATACACTGAAAGTTATATAGATTTAGAAACAAAATCATATCGTTACTGCCAGTAGAGTTGATACTGACGCTAGGGGGCTGATTTCTTTGCTTCCAGTAGTGCCAGTTATTGAGTAGATGCAAGTTATCATGTTATGTTATCGTATGAAAAAATGCTACCTCTCTGTGCCTTAAGC